AGATCTTATATCTAGAAAATATGAAGATTCTCAGAACTCAACATTAAAAACAATCCAATTAGAAAGTAGGCAAAAGACAGACATTTTACCCAAGACATTCAGATGGTAAATAAGTACATGAAAAGTTGTTCAACATAATTAACCATTAGGGAAATGCAAATTAAAACCACAGTGAGATATCACTGCACACGGATTAGAGCAGCTAAAATTAAAAATAAAATAGTGACACCACCAAATTTTGGCAAGGATGCGATCCTCATACACTAGCCTCTTACATGGCTGATGTCGGTCACTCTGGAAAACAGTTTGGCAGTTTCTTAAAAACTAATAATGCATTTACCATCTGAACTAGCAATCACACGCCTGGCCATTTATCCCAGAGAAGTGAAAACTTAGGTTCATTCAAAAACTTGTGCATGAATATTCAGAGCAGCTGTATTTGTAGTAGCATAGGTTGGAAACAACCCAGATGTCTTTAAATGGATGAATGTTTAACAGGCTGGTGCATCCATGCCGTGGAACACAACTCAGCAATAAAGAGGACTGAGTGGCTGGTGCTTGGTGAGTGGCTGGCGCTTGGAACTGCCTGAATGGATCTCAAGGGAATTATACTGAGTAAAAAAGCCAATCCCAAAAGGTCACATACATGATCCTATTTATGTTACCTTCTGAAAATGACAGGATAAAGAGATGGATAACAGATTACCAGTTGCTAGAGACTTGGGACAGCATGAGGGAGGTCTTATGTGAAGAGACAGTTTTGTGTCTTGATGATGGTGGCAGGGGCTGCACAAACCCACCAGGTTTTGAAATTGCCTAGAACCTGAATAAGGTTTGTGGATGGCATTGATGTCAGCTTCCTGGTTTGGATATTGTCCTATAGTATGTCAGATGTTCACCACTGGTGAAGGGTACAGCCCTCTATCCTATCTTCGTCAATTCCTGTGAATCTGTAGTCATTTCAAAATAAAAATTAAAATAATCACCAACCAAACAGATACCTAAGGTCTCAGGACACTGGAAAATTAAAAGTTTTAGGACAGAAAAAGCTGTTCCATGCCACTGCTAACCCAAAGAAACCAGTGTGCCTGCATCAGAAGTAGACTTCAGTTAGAAACGGCCATGAAAGAAAGAAGGGACACCCGAGAAGAAAGGTCAGCGCCCCAGGATTATTTCCGGATTCTCTAGATCTGTAAGTTAGTATGCACAGCTTCCAGGTACATCAGATGAAAACGGACACAACTGAAAAACGAAGCAGACACATCTGTAATCACGGTGGGACCTGTGAGCACAGGGGTCCACAAACTGCAGCCAGTAGGCCAAGTGTGGCCTTTGGCCTGCTTTTGTGTGGGTCTATGAGGTAAGAATGCTTTTTGGGATTTTTAAAGGGTTCATTTAAAAAAGAATATCTAACAGAAACTATAGGGGGCCTAAACTCTTCACTGTCTGGCCCCTGCAGAGGAAGTCTGTGGAGCTTTAACAAAGCCTCTCTCAAGAGCTGATAGGACAAACAGACAGAAGGTTGCTATGGATTCGAATTTCTGAACACATTTTTGAACACAGTGCACACACTCATCCTAACGGGCCTATAGAATTCTGCACCCAAAAACTATGGAGTAAACACTTTTCCAGTGCATATGGAAAATCTACCAGAATTGACTAGATGACAGTTCATAAAGCAAGCTTCTGCGAATTTCAGACAATTGAAATCATCCATCTTTTTTCTGTCCACAGTAAGCTAGAAATCAGTAATAACAATAAGTAAAAATTCTCAATTATTTGAAATTGAAACAGTACACTTCTAAATAATTCACAGGGAAAAAGGAGAAACCACAGTGGGCATTATAAAATATTTTGAATGACAGTGAAAATATTGTCCATAAAAATGTGTGGGATGCAGCTGAAAGCTATTCTGAGAAGGAAATTTGTAGAATTAAATGAATGTACTTGAAAAAAACAAAAAGGCTGAAAATCAATGATCTAAGTATACATCTCTATAAATTACAAATAAAAAATCAAACGCGGGGTGTGTGGTAGGTAGGAAGGAAATAGTAAAAGCAGGAACTAGTGAAATAGGAAACGAATGGAGAATAGAGAAAGGTTTCTTTTTACGTCATTTGCAGGAGTTCTCCCTCCTTGCTGGTAGGGATTCAAAGTGGCGCAGCCACTCTGGATGGCTGTGAAGCAGTTTCTTACAAAGTTAAACGGGTCTTAGCACGCAGTCCAGTAGCTGTGCTCCTTGCTGCGGCCACACCACAACCTGTACACAGACGTTTCAGCGGCCCTATTCGTAACTCCCAAAACTTGGAAGCAGCCAGGTGTCCTTCGGTGGGTGATGAGATGAACGAACTGTGGTCCATCCAGACAGTGGAATGTCATTCATTACTAAAAACAAGTCTATCAAGCTATGAAAAGACATGGAGGAAACTTAAATGCGTATTACTGAGGGACAGAAGCCAACCTGAAGAAGCTGCTACTGTCTGATTCCAGCTATAGGAAGTCGGAAGAGGGAGAACAATGGAAACAGTAGAAAGATGAGCGCTTGCTGAGGGCTCGGGGGAGGGAGGGTGAGCAGGCAGCAGGAGGACTTTAGGGCAGTGCACCTGCTCTGGATGAGTCTCATGGTGGGTCCAGGTCATTATGTGTTTGTCCAAACTCGCAGAATGTGCACCGCCAAGAGTGAACCCTCGTGTCAGCTGTGGACTTGAGGGACGTGTCAGTGTGGGTTCATCGATTGTAGCAAATGTGTCCTCCAGGGACTGGCAGGTGGAGGCACTGATCTGTAGAGAAGCAGAGGGTATGTGGGAAATCTCTGCACCTTCCTCTCAGTTTTGCTGTGAACCTAAAACTGCTCTAAAAACATAAAGTCTTTTTTTCTAAGTTAATTTGAAAAGATGAATACAACTGATAAACCTGTTATGAAATTGATCAAAAAAGGAGAAAGCACAAGTTGCCAGTATACAGCCTGAAAAAGGGACATCTGTATACATAGATAATGCAGACTGAAGAGATGAGGGAACATTTATACCAATGCATTGGAAACTTCAGGTAAAATGTGTGCCACGAAGAGTAAACGTGTGAAAAAATTTCAGGTAAAATGAACACATTCCTTGAAAAATATAACCTAATAAGACTGAGGTATGAAGAAAGAGAAAACTGGAATGGTTCCATGTCTGCTGAAAACATTGAATCTGAGATGAAAACTGTGCCCACAAGGAAACCTCAGGATCAGAGGGCTTCCCTGTGAGTGTTTCCAGACCCCGAAGGAGGAACCAGCGGCTGTGCTGCGAAGCCTCGGGATCAGAGGGCTTCCCTGTGAGTGTTTCCAGACCCCGGAGGAGGAACCAGCGGCTGTGCTGCGCCCGTTCTTCCAGAGAGCAGAAGAAGGGAGGCTTTCCGACTGTTTCTGTACGTCCAGCAAAATCCTGATGCAAAAATCTAACAAAGACGTCACAAGAAATAAAAATGTAGGCCGTTCTGTTTCATGAAAATAAATTCAAAACTTTCAAACAAAATATTAACAAATCAAATCCAGCAATATATAAACCCAGTAATACATGATGACCAAGTTGGGTTTATTTTTAGAATGCAAGGTTGATTTAACATTTGAAAACCATTGTAAATAACAATGAATAAGAAAAAGCAAAGAATGGATGCTAAAACAATACTGGCAGTCACTCAGGCTTCTGTAGGAAATGCACTTCTCACTACCACGTCCTGTTAGTCAGCATCTGCTGAGCCCTGTGTACTTGTATAATGATTGCTGTTTTTAAAAACAAGTGTTGTTTTGGATAATTTTGTACAACACAAAGTGTCGTACAGCACTATTTGAGGATAAAGTAGTACTGTGCAACCAAAATCATTGTGATTAAACCTTAGATTAACTCTCGGATAATCTCAGTTCATGATAAATTTCTTACAGTGGTTAGCAAGCTTCTATTTTAGTAAGTGAAACCTTAACTTCTAAGGGGGCTAAAATATCTGTTACTTTTCTCCTAATTTGTTTCAGTTTTATTTAAAATACCTCTTGGTTAATTTGCGCTGCATAGATAAGCCGGACGATGACGGATTCAGTTGCACTTACCTCATTTATGGATTCATGTGGACACTCGCTAGATATCAGTGTCACTTCCCCTGGGGCCAGTGTCAGCCAGGAGGCAGAGAGTGTCTCATGCAGCGTTCTTGCTAAATGCAGGAGCCCTCTGCGGCATCTTAGGATGACTTCCCTGTTTGAGAACAGTCAGAATGTTGGACATCAAGGTAAATTTGACAGTGAAAAGAAATATTTCATACGGGTATGATCTTAATTTGCAAAGATTATCAGCCTACCAACCTGGTGAGATATGTAAGCCGTTTTATTCTTAAATTGTAAGTATTCATTTAAAGTTAGATCTTTCGTAACAAATACTCATCATTACAACAATTATGATTTTTAAATACAATAAATTTAATGGTATCTAAAATGATACTTTCTTGGCTTCCCTGTCTGTCCCTTTGCCTTCGAAGAAAGTTGTTCAGGAAAGAATGCACCCACAAGTGAATGATCATGTGAGCTTTCTCCTAGTGGACCACAGTTTTCACCATGTCTGTTCTCAGCCCAGAGGTTCCTGGGAGGCAGGAGACTGTGCCTACGCCTGTGTGTGTGGAGCAGGCCTGAGTCAGCGGCTGAGGTTCAAACAGATGGGCGGATGGATGGGGACACTCTTAATGAAGAGGCGCCCTCGTTTCTGTCAGCCGAGCTTGCTTCCAAGGCCTCTGTCATCAGTAGACCTGGTGAAGCTCAGCTTTGAGGATGCAGCCATGGTGATGCCGTCCATTCTGAGCAAGCTTCTGTAATCAGTACAGCTGGTGAAGTTCAGCTTTGAGGACGCAGCCATGGTGATGCCGTCCATTCTAAGCGAGCGTCCGTTTGGAGTAGAGTAACTGTGCAGTGCTGAGATCTGTTTCCTGCGTGTGTGACTCCTGCCTTACATTTTTGGTGTGTGTTCTGGTCTCCACAGCCTGATTACATCAACCCCAGAGCCGTGCAGCTGGGCTCCCTTCTCGTCCGCGGCCTCACCACTCTGGTTTTAGTCAACAGCGCGTGTGGCTTCCCCTGGAAGATGAGTGATTTCATGCCCTGGAATATATTTGATGGGAAGCTTTTTCATCAGAAGTACTTGCAGTCTGAAAAGGGTTATGCTGTGGAGGTGCTTTTAGAACAAAATGTGAGTTCACAGACACCTGCCTTTCACCAGAAACATCCCTGTAGTTCCAGGCTACACAAAAAACATGAAGTTGGCTGTTGCATTTTTCAAATTAATGCTTTCCAAATAAAGGATTCCATTATTCCATTAAACCAGGAACACATGATTTGAAGCATTTGGCTTCAGCGTCAACATAACTCATACAGGTTGAATAGCCCTTATCTGAAATACTTAGGACCAGGGTGTTTTGGATTTTGAATGTTTTTGGAATTTTGGAATGTTTGCATATACAGTTGATCCTTGAACAGTGCAAGGGTTAAGGGCTCCAAATCGTTCTGCAGTGGAAAACCTGCAGATAATTTTTGACTCCCCCAAAATGTTACTACAAAGAGCCTACTGTTGACCAGAAGCCTTAACCAATAACATAAGCAGTCAATTAACACGCCATTTGTATGATATATGTATTATATACTGTATTCTTACAATAAAGTAAGTGAGCTAGAGAAAAGAAAATGTGATTAAGAAAATCATAAGAGAAAACTGTATTTACTGTCCATTAAATGGAGGTGATCATCGTCACGTTGAGTGGGCTGAGGAGGAGGAGGAAGGCGGTGGGTCTTGCTGCCTCAGGCGTGGCAGAGGCAGAAGAAAATGGGAGTGTAAGTGATCTATGCAGTTCAAACCCATGTTGTTCAAGGGTCAGCTGTACCTAGATAATGAGATATCTTGGGTCTGAGACCCAGGTTTAAACGCAGAATTCATGTATGTCTCATATACACCTTATACAATAGCCCGAAGGTAATTTTATACAATATTGTTAATGACATGCATGAAACAGTGTTTTCACTGCATCCATCACATGAGATCAGGTGTGGAATTTTCCGCTTGTAGCAGTTTTAGATTTTGGATTTTCAGATTAGGAGTGCTCAACCTGTGGCTTCTTCCAGAATTCTTAAATAGGGTTCAGGACTCCGAAACTTATGCTTAGGTAAGGCAAGCAGCATCACACCAGTCTGACACATTTTTAATTTTTGAAGTGCTTTTTACTCCTCTCCCTATTTCTCACACACACACATATGTGTACACATATATGTAATACACATACTTTTTTTTTTTTTGAGACAGGGTCTTGCTCTGTTGCCCAGCCTGGAGTGCAGTGGTGCAATCTCCACTGACTGCAAACTTCCACCTCCTGGGCTCGAGTGATCCTCCCTCCTCAGCCCTCTGAGTAGCCGGGACCGCAGGTGTGCGTCACCATGCCCGGCTAATTTTTGTATTTTCTGTAGAGATGAGGTTTTTCCATGTTGCCCAGGCTGATCTTGAACTCGTGGGCTCAAAGTGATCCACCTGCCTCAGCCTCCCAAAGAGCTGGGATTACAGGCATGAGCCACCGTGACCAGCCCCTCTCCTCGTTTTTTAATGAGGAACAAGTACTCCCTGCGAAAGTGTCCCCACAGATGTCAGACTAATCCGATAGGTATAGTTATGGTTTATTACTTGAAAATACTCCCCAGAGACTGCCAGTTTAGTTGGCGACGCTGGCTGCTGTCCAGCTTTATAAATACAATCGCTACATGACTCCTGGAAGATTTCCAAATAAGGCCTCAAGCCAAGCTCATTTGGAATGTGTTTTAGTACCCGCAGGGATGTAGAAAGCGGTGTGATCCGTGAGAGAGCATACCGGTCTGTCACGATAAAGCACTCCAAGCTTTCATAGCAGAGAGAACACATTTGGTAATGTGTTGCCATCACTGTTCCTCACATACACACACACACGATTCTAGAGTGGCATAGGACTGCAAGTATTTAGAACTTAGAAGCAGCCTGAATTTTGTAGAGAGCAAAAGCAGAAGAAGAGGAGAAATATGCTTCTAATAAGCCAGTAAGTATTGGAAAGTAGGCTATAGAAATGAAAGCTGAAGTAGCCTTATTGGACCACAGCCTGTAAATCACCCATCAAGGATCTTTTCCTTTCTTTATCCAATCTCTTGACCGAGTTCCAAGTGATTCTAGGTTCTAGTTTGGAAAAAACAGTACAGGATAGAATAATAGTAATAAAACAGGAAGCTTGGAGGAAAGGTTGAATGTTCCATGTTCCGTTTCTTGATCTGCTGATGTTTTGTTTTTGTTTTTGTTTTCTGGCCTTGGCATTTCTGCTGAATGTTCTTATAATTAAGAATTGAAAGATTAAGATATATTAAATCTAAACATTTTTAAGGTAAGATTGTGTGGTAATCACCTAAATGGTCGTAATAGGACTTGAAGATTCTTTTTTAGAAATGATTGTTTAACCTACACAAGCTTCTTGGTGTTATTTTTCTGGGGGATTTAGGAGAATATGTTCTCGAAGAACCCCTTGGGATGTGGCCATGCTGAAGGAAAACTGCGATTTGTGCCTGGGAGGAGGGTGCAGCCACCATTGCTGCCTAGCCTTGGGAGCGGCGTGGGAGGGGGTCCCAGAAGCTTCCTTCCAGCCACATCTGGCCCCTCACATCTCATTTGCATCTGGTCTGTTTGCAGAGATCTCGGCTCACCAAATTCCACAACCTGAAGGCAGTGGTCTGCAAGGCCTGCATGAAGGAGAACAGACGCATCACCGGCCGAGCCCACTGGGGCTCACACCATGCAGGTGGGAAAGGGCCAGGTGCCTCAAGAAGCCCCACAGACGTAGACCCGAACTGCTTCCTGAGTTTTGTTGATAAATGAATTCTAAGAAGAGGCTGATACAATTGGATGAACAGAATAGAATTTAAATGATGGGGCCGGGTGTGGTGGCTTATGCCTGTAATCCCAGCAGTTTGGGAGGCCGAGGCAGGCGGATCTCCTGAGGTCAGGAGTTCCAGACCAGCCTGGCCAACACGGTGAAACCCCGTCTCTACTAAAAATACAAAAATTACCCAGGCGTGTTGGTGGGCACCTGTAGTCCCAGCTACTTGGGAGGCTGAGGCAGGAGGATCACTTGAACCTGGGAGGCGGAGGTTGCAGTGAGCCGAGATCACGCCACTGCACTCCAGCCTGGGCAACAGAGCGAGACTCCATCTCAAAAAAAAAAAAAAAGAATTAAAATGATAGATCTCTAGCCAGTGGTTTGAATTCTGGTCCCATTTGGAAAATTTCTCAGGAAGGATTCACTCATTAATTAAATAATTAAGAACTCTTTCTCTGCATGTGTAACCTCCTTTCTGGGGTTCCCCAAAGTAGAAGGGCTGCTTAGGTAATGTTTGTTTATTTGACAAGAGTTTAGGTTTATTTTTTCTTACAATAAAAGTATATTATAAAAAATGAGTATAAAGAAAGTAATTAAAAAGGAAGTGTCCATGGCCTTTAATTCTGTCACATAAAGATAACAAGCGTGGGCCTTCCGTGTTTGGATCTCGTGGTGAGCACACTCCACGCAGTGTGCATCCTGCTTTCCCACTTACACCTAATTTTGGGCGTTAACACCATTCTTCTTAAGCAACGGTCCCAGAATCTTCCACTACTAGATAGTTTGTTCCCTGTTTGGAGCTCTGAGGATCTTTCCATTTTTTTCTCATTACTCCTAATGCTTTTATGTGTATTATTATTATTTTCTTAAAACAGAGTGTCATCATCTGTGGGATCATAGATTGAAATTTAATCAATTTTAGGTAAAATGATCACTGAATACCTTCTCCAGCAGTGAGCAAGAGTTTCCATTTCAGGGCACCCTTGACACTTCTAAAAGTCTGGGGGTTTTTTTGTTTTGTTTTTTTGAGATGGAGTTTCGCTCTTGTTGCCCAGGCTGGAGTGCAGTGGCTCGATCCTGGCTCACTGCAACCTCCACCTCCCGGGTTCAAGCGATTCTCTTGCCTCAGCCTCCTGAGTAGCTGGGACTATAGGCGCCTGCCACCACACCTGGCTAATTTTTGTATTTTTAGTAGAGACGGGGTTTCACCATGTTGGCCAGGATGGTCTCGATCTCTTGACCTCGTGTTCTGATGGTTTGTAAAAAACAATTTGGTAGATGAAAAATGTATCTCATTGATTGAATGCTGCTTTGTCTGTCAGTGAAGTTAGACATCTTATTAGCTTATTTTGTGAATAAGACTTTTTAATTATTCTTTCATGCCCTCCTTCAGTTCATGTTTACACCTGTAACTACTGCAGTCCCATTATTTTTCTCGATGGAATAAGAGAACTCAGCCCAGATTCTTATCCACCCAGAGTATCTCTAGGAGAACTACTTGGTGTCAGCCTTGCAAATACCATTCTCAGAGGTTTTGTGAGCTACCTCAGGTGCGCCCAGATCCCACCAGGTGTCGTGTGTAGCACCCCACGAAGGGAGAGCAGCCAGGGTGTGTGGAGCCATGTCCAACCACGAGAGGGAAGGCTGCTTTTTCTGCTGTTCCCAATCCTCCTCTCTGTCTTTGACTTTCAGCCACCAACTCTAGATAGACAGAGATTGGGACCCCAAAACAAAAAATAAATATGTGATATTCTCTCACATTGCCTGTTTCCTTACCTGGCTAGCAGGTCCTCAGAAGTCTGCGCTGTGGCTGGGCACATACCTGTAATCTGAGCACTTTGGGAGGCTGAGGTGGGAGAATCATTTAAGGCCAGGAGTTTGACACGGACCTGAGAAACATAGCGAGACCCTGTCTTTACAAAAAAAAAAAAGTCTGCACGCACACGCAGTCCTGCAGGGTTCCCTCACCTCTCCAAACTGAGGTTGTCAGCGAAACCATGGCAAGTGGCTGAGAGACCTGCAGGTGCTGGACGCTGCCGCTTAGGTGGCAGTAGGCATGGCGGCTGTCAGGCCAAACTCCTCTTTCATTTCAGAGACACAGGCTGCCTAGGTGGCCGCAGGCATGGCGGCTGTCAGGCCAAACTCCCCTTTCATTTCAGAGGCCAGGGGGTCCTGCATGACAAGTTTATTTTGAGCACTAAAGATAACCTGTTAGTTTAATGCAGTGGTACAGTTACTTGTAATTTGTATAGAAACTAAATTTTGACTCCTTTCTAATGAAGTTTGCCTACAAATGGGCAGAAATCAGTGTCCTGTCATATTATTCCAAGTTAATGAGGCAGACTGCATTTTCCTGTTGTATTATTCCATTAATGCGGCGAACCACATTTTAAGAGCTGTGATAGATTAGTAAGATCATTTCGTGATTTGGAAACTGTTCCCTTTTTTGTTCTCAAAGTAATTTTCTTCACAAATCCAACTTAAGGTTATATGGTTCAGTGCCTCATTTTGCTGAAGAACCTTATTCCCCACGTGGCTCACCCAAAACCAAGGTTGGTTCTTAGTTGCAGACGTTAGGCTGGAGCCTCCACCGCTTGGCCCCAGCCCCGTGTTCTCGGGTAATGCCGAGCTTACCCCTCCTCTGTTGGGGAGGGGCTGTAGGGACGTGGTGGGGCTCTGCAGTCCTGACTGCCATTGTCTGCTTACGCGGGCCACACAGCCAGGCCACTGCAACGCCAACCTACTCCTGGTGTGTTGGCCTCTGGACCCACGCCGACAGCCGTGAGCTCACAAGTGCTCCGAGCTTGGAGTCACCTGTTATTCTCCGTGTGTGGTCACGAGTGTCCATGCTGGAGGTGAGCTGGAGACCACGTGTGTAAGACGAGCACACACGGGCTGACCCTGGCCGGATGTGAGGGGCATGTCGCGGAGGTGAGCTGGAGACCACGTGTGTAAGACGAGCACACACGGGCTGGCCCTGGCCGGATGTGAGGGGCATGTCGCCAGTCCTGCAGACCAGTAGCTCAGAGGCAAGGGCAGAGTCACAAAGGGATGACATCCCGGCAGGAAGGTGGACTCGGGGGACTTTCAGTAGCTAGACTGGGGTAAGGTACCACAGTGGGAGGACACTGGGGAAGTTAAGTTGGCCTCAGAGACCACAGAGGCTGTTGAATGCCAGGTGAGTCATGGCTTTTCTACCCACCTCACACTGGGGAGCTTTTGAAGTTTTTTGAGGTGATATGATCAGAAATCTGTTAGTTCAGGATACAGGTCCTGAACTAACAGATTTGTGTGTCTGTTAACAGACATGTGTGTCCTGAGGGCAGCCCGGCAGCATGTGCCAGCACAAAGCCATGCCCCCATGGACACCGCAGCATGTCCAGGGAGGACCAGCCTGGCGGAGGCACATCCTGCAAGGCCATCCTTCACTCATAGTAAAGCCCCAGGCGGCCTGTGGCCTGCACGCTGCATGTGTGGTCACGCACTGGGAGTCCTGGTGACAGTGTGGCCCGCCTCGCAGATGCTTCCAGTGCACCTGTGGAGCAGGGACAGTACCCATGGCAGGGCTGAGTGGCCTGGGCTGCCTTTGTGGAGCGCCATGGACTATCATGATTCCTTTAAAAAATCACATGAGTTTGTATTGAATCAGGCCTTCTGGTAGAGACGAACAGGACAAGGTGTCATGGACTGGGAAGTTACGGACATTTTAAAGTGTGAAAAGTGTGTGTGAATGAAGTTTATGGAGAATGGGGAGAAGCTCACAAGTCCCAGAAGTGCTGCTCCATGCCTCACCCAGGGCCCCAGAGGGATGGGCTTGGTCATGGGTGCTGTGGCCTGTGTGGGTCCAGGGGGCCCCAGGGAAGAGGAGTGGTTGGGCTGCTCGAGTCTTTGTTTGCAGAGTCTGACCTCTCACCACCAATACCAGATTCCCCTGGGGTAGGGTTTAACAGGCAGATCGGTGACTCCACTCCTGAGCCGGGTTCTCTGGGGATGCAACCCTTAAATTTGCGTTTTTTCATGACCCTCCCTCTGATTTAAGTACAGGCAAACTGCCAACCTGGTGCTGTCTTGCCACCTTTACATGATGTGTCATTTGGGTTAAGACATTTGACAACTTGCTAATCCTCTGACCATGTGTTCCCACAGGGAGGTGGGGAAGACAGGGCTCCGGCTACCACAGGACGGGCTCTGGGTATAGCCGTTCCAGTCAGGGGCAGCCGTGGAGAGACCAGGGACCAGGTAAGAAGGCCAGTGGTCACTGCTGGGCCACCTGCATGGCACTGCCTCTCACCTTGTGCTTTTGCTGTTAACTGCCTTCCTTTCTTTCAGAAAGAGGTTGTATAGTTCCAGTAAATAAACAGATAAGTATACCGATGCATCTAATTTTTATCATTTAGTGAAATAAAAACAAATAATTTCCATGCTTGATGCTAGCCCTGTCTGCTTCTGGCCCCTTTATTCATTTTCTATCAGTTCATTCTGCTCAAGATCCAGTTTTTGTAATTTGCTCACTAGAAGGCACTTGTAAAGTTTACATGTGGAAGATCCATTGTTCTCATGAAAAAAGGGCAGGTTGTAGTGTTTCACCATAGCCGTGTTCAGGTGATAGCATTCCGATATTTTCCATGACTTGGATTACAGTGTGAGGTAGAAAATAGCCCCAACCCTGTGTTTTTTACATATATTGTACAGATACCATTTTAATGCATGTATTATGCTGAATTTAAATACATCGAGAGCTTCACATCAGGATTTGAGCTCAAATTCCTTATAGTTTTGAGAGCCAAACTTCATAAACTTTGAAATTACCTAATATTTATCATTTAATGCCTTAAAAGCCAAATCTACCTTTAATGTATGGTATTTGTGACTTTCACAATGTCTCAAATGTGTAGACTCGCAAGCTGCTCAAATTATTCTCTAAAACACAGCAAGTCTTCGGTGTGAATCCAGTTGACCTTTGGGGTCTGTCTGGGGTGGAGTCTGCGTGGAGGCTGCAGGGCCGCATGTCTGTTGAGTACCGTGTCCTTTCCTCTTGGGTCTGTGCAGTCAGCAAACATTGCGAGTCCACTGTATGATTGTTCAGGGTAGATCAGAATTCGTGGTGACTGTGTTTGCAATGCCCGTCCTTGAGAGAGGGCTCCATGAATTTAGGTTTACACGTGCTTGAGATGTTTCCTTGAATGAGCCTAACCTGCAGAAACTCTACCCCACCAAGTCGTGTGCTCACTGTCATCTGGAGCTTCTAGATGGCCCCCACTGAGCATGTGCAGTCCATCCTCTCATGGTCTCTACTGCAGTTTAACATAAGGGTCACTTCCACTTCGTCACTGACTAAATCCGAGTATTTATACCAGTGCAGTGCAGCTGAGATCTGGGCAGAAGACCTTCCGTTTGTGCAAGGATATTTGAGATTGCTTTTAACTTAGAAGGTACTGCAGTTGATTGGAGCAAACCACGAACAAGGAAGCTGAAAACAACAGGAGCGGTTTTGTAAACTTACCTAGCCTCAGACTGAAGCCTGGTGCTGGGGGCCGTTGCCGCTGCCCTCGGTGACTCTGGCCTAGGGGTGCATTCCTGTGCGATGCGTGTGCTGTGGCTTTCCAGTTCGCTTCTCCACTCTGGTTAAGAGTCTGCTTTCGGGTCAGAAACTGCAGCCCTGAGGTGGTGTGTGTGTAGATTGCTCAGCGCCTGTCCTGGGGGCTCCCCGTGGGCTGGGGGCCTACAGCCCTGACCTGGCGGATCCTGGCGGATCTGTCTGCAGCTGGCAGTGCACATTAGGGCTGCTTTGGGAAGAGTGCGGGATCTGGGCTTCTGAGTCTTTGGGGTGAGAGGCCTTCCTCACATGAGCCATGGTGAGGCTGCTCCCAGAGGAAGGTGAGCGTGTGCAGAGCACTTAGGTCCAAATGGGTGGGTAGAGCTTACGCTCCCCCTCCATCCCTCCCTCGCTCTCTCTGCTGCTTTAAATAGCGGATCTGAGATCTCCTTGACAAGGTGATATTTAAGCAAAGGCCTGATGAGAGGGTGGGAGCTGATGCCAGACACCTCTGTGCCAGATATGGAGACAGAGGAGGCAGTCAGAGCTGTCACGAGGTCAGGTGGGCTAGACCTGGAGGGCCCTGCAGCTCTGTGCGAATCTGGAGTCCACCCCAACCAAGAAGCTGGACCCAGGTGATTGCAGCAGGTGGTGAGACCTCAGTGACCACATCCCGTGGAAATGCTCAAGGCCTGCAGACCGTCCACATCCAGCTGATGATGGCACACAGCTTAGTTTAGATCTAGGGTCTAGTAATGTTGGAAATACTGGGTTGACTGATGTGGAGTAAAGCCACTGGGTGTAACGGGCATCCCAGCCTCATCCATCCACACCTTCCTGCCCTGGAGATCCATGACCAGCCTGGCCGTAAATGCCAGGCCAACCTTGATGACATGAAAGGCATCGGCCCCTCCAGGTGAGGATTCAGCAGAACCCACCTGACCCAGTAAGGCAGGCTGGAGGGGAGGGAAGAGCCGCAGCCTCTCTTTCGGGCAGCCTGACTGGGCAGGGCATGCTGTCGTGTCCCCTACTCCTAGCCTCGTGGTAAGAAAGGGGACCTTCTCTTACCCTCTTTGGCTTGGAGTTGTCCCCTTCTTCCCCCTGGGCCTCAGGAAGGTGGGGAGGGGATGGTCAAGAGAGTCCACAGTCCAGATGGGAGGATGGGCAAAGGCTGCGGGTTCTGCAGACAGGTGTGCCCGCCCGTCACGTCACGGAGGAAACGAGAGTATGCCGTCAGGCCTGCCACTGACGGGACGCGTCACTGCAGGCAATGCCCTGAACCCTTTCCATCAGGCACGTGCCCTGGATAACCTTGAGTATCCTTTCTAGCTCTGGAATTCTGTGACTTTGGATTCTATATATTGAATGGTGGGTGAGACATCAGTAAAGTGTAACTCTCAGGAGCCAGTAAGGAAGGTGGAACCATGTCATAACTCCTAGGAGTGAGTGAGAAAGGTAGAGCTGTGTCATTTACAGACAGATGTACCATCAAGAACATGCCCCGGCCTGCCCTGATCTTAGAAGGTAGGTAGAGTGGGACCTGTTTGGTACTGACTCCTCTGGGAATGGTAAGAGTCACAGGCTTTTCTTTTTTCCCTTTCTTCCAGAGGCGGCCCGCTGTGGTAGCTTCAGACAGGCTGACTTTGTCTCAAGCCCTGGTTCTGCCCCTTCCCAGTGGCCTGCCCTTAGGGGATCCCTGGACCCCTGGGCTGCTCCCTGGCTTTTGATCAGTGTGGCCTGACCAGCTGCAGGGACGGCGCCTCCACAGCCCCAGCACCCAGGTGGAGGTGATCGTGGCCGCTTCTTCCAAAACCAAGTTTTTCCTTTCCTGGCATTAATGCTAACATTTCTCTTAATATTTATGTCAAACTGTTTTGTTAAACATAAAGCAATGTCAGTCCTACCTTAGTATCGCTGTTCTTGCAGAACGAAGTGAAGCAGGAACAGCACCAAAGCCTGCAGGTGTGGCCTGGAGGGAGCAGAGCCATCTGCTTCTCCCGGGGCTCCCCCAGAGCATAGCCCTGGGTCAGGTGCCAGGAAGCATGCCATGCACATTGGCTTCTTTCTTTCTTTAGTGTGATGACAGAGACGACAGGAGCATCTTTGAAGTAGACCAGAAGAACCTCCTTCCTTGGATTGACAGGAAACAGGTTTTTTTCTGATTCTGTTAGCAGAGAACAGCGTCCAGAAATTTCTCCTCCTCGTGCAAATTAAAACAGCAGAATGACTTTCCATAGGCAGAACCGTAGCTAGTCATTGTCAGCCCTGGGTCCCTGCCAGGGGAAAGTCTCACTCTTGGAACCCTGTATGCCTCTGCAGCAGATCCCTCGGCCAGCCAGTAACAGGCACCCCCCAGTCACCCGTGGTCTTGCCAGAAGTCCAGAGGCCACCATGGTGTCCTCGTCCTGCCTGGTGGCAGCTCCTTGGGGCAGGCTGAGCTAAGTCTGAGGGATCTCTAAGTGGCATGCAGCAGCTGGTTGTGTGGGTGAGGAGACAGCCCTCAGATGGACACAGGTTTGGAGGTGACAGGACATGGGGGGCTGGCGGGAGACAGACAGAGGCAGCGTCCCATCAGGACTGAGCTGGAGAGGGAGGCTGTCCAGAAGCTGGCAGAGAAGAGAGGCTCTGAGGACAGCTGACAGAAAGGGCCAGGGAGCAGGGAGGAAGGGAGCAAAGGCAGACTGTCCCCGACAGGAGCCAGGACAGGCACCGCCGGTATCTCCGGGAGCACTTGTTTCTTAATCCTTTCTGCCTGTAATAGTATAAGCTACTGATAGGAAGCAGAAAATATGTACAGACTGAGTATCCCAAGTCTGAAATCCAGAATGCTCCACAGTCCAGAATTTTTACCCACCAACAGGACGCTCAAAGGAAGTGCTCCTTGAAGCATTTTGGAATTTCAGACATTCAGATTAGGGTTGCTGAACCCCGGTAAGTATAATGCAGTTATTCCAAAATCTGAAAAAAATCTGAAACCTGAACCACTTCTGGTTCCAAGCATTTCAGAAAAGGGTTACTCAGCCTCTAGTAAACAACCCAGGGCTGCCTCTGCAGCCTGTGTCTCTGTGGGTTTGGACCTATGAGTGGCCACAGGCCTCCCCAGGAGGCACTCCTTTCTCTACCCAGAACATGCCATCCTCCCTTGGGACTCCCTGCGCCCTGGGCTCTGTGGCCCCCTGCACCCTGCGTGTCCCACACTCAGTCCCTCATTTTCATCTTTGCTGTGTTCCCACTGCTGAGGGTGCTGTGCACGTCCCAGGATGGACCTAAGGAGGCAGACTCAGCAGATGAAGGCCCCTGGTGTGTGTGCCCTCTTGTCTTGCTTTAATACTTGCTTCCTGTAGATTCCTGAATCCTTGAGCCGGTCCACAAAGCTGTGGGGGTGGCAGAGGTTCTCCCTAGGTTCTGCATTTTGCCAAGCTTTCCGTAGCATGCCCAGTAATTTGCTTTTAAATCCAGTACGCACATCTGTAAGTACCACTTTAGCACAAGTTTCATTTCTGATATCCATTTATTTAGGATGTCATTGACAAAGACAAATAAAAAGTCAAGTAACCAAAGTGAATTTGTAGCTCTTCCTGACCCAGAAAGGAGCACAGAGGAGACGTGAGCAGTGGGCCCAGGATAAGTGCGGGCACCGCTGGCCCTGCTGAGTGAAGGACGTGAGACCAGGAGAGCAGCTCCACACCTGTCTCTGCCGCCTCGTTCCTACGTCACTGTTCAGTGGGCTCTCCCGGGCTCTGCAGAGCCCGCAGCCCTCCAGAAAGGAGGAGACGGTCGGGCTACGTGGCGTGAACTCCAGGTGTAGGGTCCCTTCTCACCGCCCACAGGACCACTTAGAATTTCAGGAACTATTGGGCACCTGAAGGAATGTTTGTCAGTCTGGGTGCAAGGCCTAGGGAAGCACGTTTTACCACTTCTGTTCTGGTCACTTAGAAACAATAAAACTGTAATGACCTCAGCAGCTGGAGCCTAACACCACTTCAAGGCCGTGCCCTAGTTTCATAAATAGGTCTTTGACAAAGATCTCCGCTTTACTGGAGTAGATCGTAACAGTAACAGAAATCAAAGAGTGGCGATGCATGTGGTGTGGGGCCAGAAAGTAGCCCTAGGAGACTCTCAGCTTAAAGGCAGAATGGAGATGTTAAATGCCGAATGCCAGATTTAAGAGTTTAGGAATAAGAGCAGGAGAAATTAAGCGGTTCTTGCAAAACAGAAGCGAGGGTGCTACGTTTCATTTGCGTTCTGCCTTCCATGCGGACGTAGTTACAGAAATGACATCGGGGTGCCTGTGTGTATTCTCATTTCAGAGATTCCAGTGTAAAGGGTATGTTATACACATACTGGAATGTGCTTTTCAGACCAAGTAATCCACTTTTTCACTTGTAATTACTGTGAGTGACTTTGGGGCAACACATTTCTTCCTGGGTTTTGCCTACCTTGAACTCCTCTTTTGGTATTTCTTGGAGACATTAAAGTAGTTCAAGTAGAAAGTTGTCACTGTTTCCAGGCCAATTGATAGGTAAAATTCCTTGTGTTAGTAAAAACACTAAAAATGCCTCATCATGAAAGTATTCAGTCACTGCCAAAAGGTTGTCAAGTTTCCGGGGCCTGAGTGTGTGGACAGGTAGTGGGGTCCTGGGGAGCCTGAACTCTCTGGTCCACTTCAAAGGCCTCAGAGCTCAGTGCAGGCAGCTGCCCCGAGAACAAAGGCTGCTCAAGTGAGAAGGCTTTAACCTCTTCCTTGCTGTTGCTCAGCCCAGCTGGCAAGAGATGATGTGTTAAATTCCACAGTCCATAGCTACAATTTGCCTGTGACTTTCCAGATTGTCACTTCTCTGTGGTGATTCTGTAGGAGGCCTGCTGTAAAACTGCCTGTGATCATCTGTGATAACAAGGGTAGGGGCAGAGGTAACAAGGGTCTGGAAACCTCACTGTGGCTGTAACCCTCTCCTTTCACACCTTCTGCCAGAGCCCACACTTTTGGGGGGAGTGTGAGAGACCTAGACTGCCCACGGCAGGAGTGGGTCAGAGGAGAGTCGTGGAGACCGTCCCCAGTCACTGCAAGTGAAGGCTCACGCTGTCATACACCAGAAGATAGAGCAGGGAACTCTGGAAGAAAAGTGTTATTTTTAAAATGTGAAAAACTGTCACTGTTTCTACTACGAGGAGGGAGGTTCCGCCCCGAGTCTCTTCCCAACGTTCCCTGTCTGTCAGAAAGGCAGACAGTGGCCACCCACGCTGGGACTGGAGAAGGGAAGTCTGGGCCAGCCACAGAAAGAGCTGCACGTGGGCTTTTCTGTGTTGGCAGAACGTCCACGGTGAGCCATCTGCATGTGAATTTCCATTTCCAAACGTCGTCAGCAATAGTAAATGCCTAGAAATCCCGCAGATGGATGGAGCTGGTGTGAAGAGGAACAACTTCGACATTGTTTCCTTCCACGAACCTCTTAATTAATTGCTTCCACTTTAATGGAATAATTATGGAACACAGTTTTAATGGCATGTGGCCACAACTGTAAAGAGGATGGAGCTCTATCCTCCAAATACAGCTCAGCATCTTTGTTCATACTTAGAAATGTGCAGCGTTCTTGTTTGTGTATTGAGAGAGATGTATTCTTACTTTGGTTTTCATGTCTGTTTACTGCAGGAAGCAGACAGTATGAGCATGACCAGTGGAGAAGGTACTAGCCGTCCTCCAGGTAAGTTCACCACCCGCATCTCCAGAAGAAATCAGTCCTTTATAACATAAATCTTCCGTATCACGTACCAAAGTAAACAGGACTCAGATATTGAATCCTGCTGACCTGGTGCCGAGTTAACTTGGTTTCAAGACACGCTTGCTTCCTCCAGAAAGAGCGTGGAGAGAAAAAGAGGCACACCTGGACGCAGAGCCCTGCCAGCGCCCTCCTCTGCTGTCGCAGCTGCAAGGAGACCATGCCTGTGGGAGCCGGGCCTCGCTTGCATGAAGAAGGAAAGATGCCTTTTCAGTGGTGCCTCCGCCCATCATGCAGAAGAGCTTTTGTTGGCTTCTCTCCCAAGCTTGTGCCTGATTCTGTGGCCCAAAACAATCATTGTTAATATCTTCGTGTATTTCATTCTGATCTTTCATTCATATATATGATGCCTAGCTAATTTCATTTTAAAATAAATGGGGATCTGTTGTATTCTGATTTTTTATTAACAACACTATGAGGGATTGTCTCCTGTTATTAGAAAGTCAGAAAACACTATACAGTAGTCCTCCCTTATCTGTGGGAGAGACATCCCAAGACCCTCAGTGGATGCCTGAGACTGTGGATAGTATATGTGGGAACCCTACATATATGTATACATGTGGCTTTTTCCTCTACGTACATACTGTGGCAACGCTTAACAAGGAACAGTAAGAGATTAACAGCAGTCAATAACTAATAAAAGTTACGTGAATGTGATCTCTCTCAAAATATCATACTGTAATCACCCTTCTTGCTATCTGAAAACCAAGACCACCACTAAGTGACTCATGGTCGGAGAAGCTGGATGCGGGGCTGATTCATGTCCCGGGCATGACAGAGCAGGAGGTACGAAGTTTCATCACACTACTCACAATGGCGAGCAAGTCAAAATGGATTTCCCATTTAATGTTTTCAGACATGAGTGGACCATGAGGAACCAAAACCCCAGAAAGTGAAGCTGGGCATATTTCAGAAATTCTTTTCTAATCAGAAATTCTAATCAAACATAAGTTTCCAACTATGTGTGCTCTTGGTCCTGAGAAGTGTTTGAACAGAAAAGTAACAACTAACTTCCCACCTTTCTGGTGGAAGAGTTAATTCTGCCTGGAGGGTTCTGCCTGGGAGGCATGACAGCATGTGTGTGACTCCTGTGTCTGTTTCTGTGGAGTCATCCCTTTCATTTCATTTTGCCAGGGCCTGGCTCAGGATTTTCAGTGGCAGTGCCTGTGAGGACAGGCCTGGCCCTCCATGCAGTCACACAGGAAATCCACAGAGAACATGCTGAGAGCAGCCGGCGGCTGTGCTGCCAGCAGGCCTGGTTTATGATGCCGCAAGTGAATGGCACGTTTGTTCCTCTTTATCTCTGAGCATTGGAGGCTTTTGTTTTTTAAAAAAAATTAAGTTCAGAGTAATCCTTTTCATGGAAGAATCTTCAGGTCATCCAAGAATTGAAATTTTAAGCCCCAGATTGTACGGAGCTGTACCTGTGGCGAAAGGAATGGCCAGGGTGTTGATGATAGAAAAGATTCAGATGAGGAGTTAGAAAGCCAGCCCTCTGTGGGAGGCTGTCTTCCAGAAACCTCGAACTCATGTCTCTCTCCACCTGAGAAAGGAGAGGAAAAGCTGGTGTGACCCCTGGTCCCGCTGGGCTACGCTGTGGCTCTGAAGGTGCCCAGGGTCCTTAGGAGTGCTCACTTCTGTCACCTGAAGACACTTCCTTGAACGTGCTTGCAGGCCCGTTTGTGTGCCTGCACTTGACGAATTACCTTGACCAACAGGCCAAAGGCACAGAGCTCCAAAGCGTCATCTTTCCTTAAAATCCTGAGCGTTTACTAAAAAGGGACATGGCCTCTGGGTATTTTATGACATTTGTATTTCTTACATTTTAAATACCCTAACCACTCCCTTCAGTTTCTTCTTAAGGACATTTACATCTAATTATTTTCCATGCAAGTCTTGTAGGACCCACATTTTTGCTAGCTTTGGAAATAGATTTTTTTCATTGCTCTTGTGAGGATTTCCCCATGTCAGTAAACATTAACTTTCTATTTCTTCCATCTTTGCTCATTTGAAACCCTGCTGCTTCTAGATCTATTTCTTTGCATTTGTATAACTTTGAAATAAATTCCTCATCCCTTAGACTAAGAGAGTGGGCATCTCTGAAAATTGTTTTCTCGTTCATAATACCTAAATTCTAGTTTGTCAATGAAATATTTGTGTTTGGTTAACAAGCCTTATTTAAGCCATTAAGTTAATATAATCTTCATTACACTTGAAAAACCAGAGAACTGAATTTTTTGTCATTCCAATATGTAAGTTAACACTGCAGTCAAGTCTTATGATGAAATTTCCATGTATCAAATTGAAAGTAAAGCAAAATATGTTTATTACTCATAATTAATATACTTTCACATGTCTTTGATTCTTTGTAAGACATTTCAGCATGTGGATGTGGGGAATGGTGAGCCTGCCCCAGAAACATCTCCCTGCTGCCACCATGGCCACGGCTCTGTGGTCTTTCACTGACTTCTGAAACTCCACGTAAATCTACCGTCACCCACCCTGTCTTTGACCGTTCCCTTCACCTTCCTGCTCACAGAAAGCTGGCGTTTCCCCCATACCTTGGTGCATAGAGCCGATGCCCCTCACATTCTTGGCCTGTTTCCAGGCTGTTGTAGTCGCTTCAGCATGTAGTGGTGCAGAACGCCCATTCACTGTGCTTATGGATTCTGGGCGTTGAGTCCAGGCAAGGCATGGCAGGCATCACCTGTCCTGACTCCCATGTCTGGGCTTGGCTGGAAGACCTGGAGTCGGACACATATTCGTTCTTGCCTGTATCTGGCTGATGCTGGCTCTTATATGAGGCTTTTGTCTCTCCATGTGAGCCTCTCATTGGTCCTGAAGACTGGTTAACTGATAACTGGATGGTAACTGGATTCTGAACACAAGCATCCCAAAGGCTAAAGAGCCAGGTAGAGACCACGTTACTCTTCATAGCCCAGCCTCCGAAGTCACAGCATTCAACATCTCTTCTGCCATATCCTGTTCATCAAGGCAGACCAAAAAAAAAAAAAAAAAAGTCCAAATTCAGATGGAGATGAAGTAGCTGCTTCCTCTTGACTGAGCAGGACAGAGTCCCAGGAAATCATGTGAGACCAGAAGTATTACTATGGCCGTTTTTGGAAAATAGTCTTCTGCACAGACCATTTCCCCTTCTCCATTAAAGCAACAAACTTGGAATCTCATCATCCAACCCTGCCACCCACCAGTCCTCCTTGTTGACCTTCGGGTTCCTGGCTGTCACTCTTCCCAGTATGACTCTTGTAATAGTTTCTGGCAGCCTTAGTATCCTGTAGCTGATCCTTCCGGTGCCCTGATCTCAGTTTCTTGATGTCCCCTCCCAGTGATCTTGTTCCCCACCTTTGGCCTTGTCATTACCAGTAACTCAACTCCTTCACAGTCTCAGTCCCCAGCACTCTCCAGCCACACAGCTCGTTACCTCTGGCACACGGTGATTCCTCAGTCAGACAGGAGCTGGGTCCATTGACCCAGCACACTGCAGCCGAGTGCCCGTCATCGGCCCTGGTCCCTTCTTCACCTGTCCTCCCCTATCTGCTGACTTCCGTGGCCAGTAATGGAAGTGACTTTCTTGTATACACTACTTTGCCTCTCTTATTTTATTGTGTCTATGTGGTAAAAACCACACACCTCTGTTAAATCCAACTCTGCTTTTAGAATGTGGCTAGAGAAAATCCCACAGTCATCATTACTGGTCCCACCTTAAATCCAGTGAGCCCTGGGTGCTGCCCGGTGGCCATTCCCCACTTCCCCCCGCTCTTCAGATGGTTGGTTCGTGTCCTCTGCTCAACCCTCCAGCACTTCTCCTGTCCTCAGTCACAGGTGACAACTTTGCTTTCTGTAAGTTCTCACACCCATGTTTGCTACCCTTCAAGCATCTGCATCATCAAGTCAGAATTCATAAACAGAATACCAGTAGAAATAGACAAATCCACAACAGAGGAAGGAAGTATCCACTTTTTAACCTACCCATATGGATGAGCTCACTCTGCTCCTACTTAAGGCCATCTCTCCAGCTGTGAACCCAGGGTCCCTCAGCTGCTCAGACAGCCCCTTGTCCCTGAGTCATCAGCGGTGTCCCCTCCATGCTGTCCGTCCCATCTTACAGAAAATCTCTGCAACCTGCTTCTCACTCCAGCGGGCACATCATGTTTCTTTACCTTTATAGAAAAATAATGTTGAGCCCAGAATCCTAAGGTCAGCCAAATTAGCATTCTACACTAAGAGGAAAAATTAACACATTTTCAGGAATCAGAAATTCTTTGACCCATAGATCCTTTCCAAGAGAAACTGGATAGCAAAATGAGCACATCTAACAGGAATACATGGGCAATGAGAAACAATGTTGAGTACAGAAATTAGTAAAATTTCAGTCATTGCTAAGCAACTATTAACCCAAAGCAAAGAAGCCGAACAATTGGAGACTAAATTTCCATATTATTTCAAGGAAAGAGATGAATGAGGGCAATGAGATAAAAAGAAAAAAGCATACTAAATTTCTTACCTTGCTTAGAAAGAACACAAATTTTTATTAAATCTGGATGTTTTTGGAAAAATGTAAGTTTATGTATGCTGAAATGTTAAGTGTGCACATTAAAAGAAGAAAAATAATAAAAGGAAAGTCTTAAAGCTATCATCCTCATGCATCTGGCATAATAAATGAAAATTACAAGCAAAATACAAGGAGAAATAGACTCAGTAGTAGGACACTTAACATGCATTTCACTCTCAGAAATCAAGATTTCATAAACCAAAAGAAATGACATACATTTGAGTAGGTAAACAAGCTTATTCTAATAGAAATATACAGAACAAATAGATACCTTTTTATTAATATTCTCAAACACAGATGGACAGTTCACAAAATTTAACCATGTAGTAGACCCCAAAGTAAACCGCAGTCAAAATACTGAAAAGCCAATTTACTGAAATAACACAAGCCTATTTTCTGCCCTTGAGAAAATAGAGACCGGGAGCGGTGGCTCACACTTGTAATCCCAGCACTTTGGGAGGCTGAGGTGGGTGGATCACCTGAGGTCAGGGGTTCGAGACCAGCCTGGCCAACGTGGAGAAACCCTGTCTCTACTAAAAATACAAAAATTAGCTGGACGTGGTGGTGGGCGCCTGTTGTCCCAGCTATTCAGAAGGCTGAGGCAGGAGAATCGCTTGAACCTGGGAGGTGGAGGTTGTAGTCAGCCAAGATTGCGCCACTGCACTGCAGCCTGGGTGACAGAGCAACACTCTTTAAAAAAAAAACAAGAAGAAGAAAAGAAAAATAGAATGAGAAATCAACAACAAAAGGATAAAAAGCAAAAATTTTTCCACTTAGAAATTAACTCATCATTTAAAAATATGTATTGAGGAAATCAAAACCAAAATTACTTTTACAAATAGAAGTGTTACCTTAAGAAATTCATGGGAGGGGAATGATGTCAGAGAAGATGGCAGACCTGGAAGCACCAGGGATCTGTATCCTCACCTAGACAAAAATGGCACTGGCAGAAACTAACCAAAGTAAGTATTTTGGAACTCGGGAGTCTACTTGACAACTTGCAGCCTCTAATGGGAAGCTTGCCTGGTAAGTTGTGGTTAGTTTCCATCAGTTTTGGATGCCTGGTTCCCAAGTGCATGGTAGACAGTCATGCACACATTCCTGGTGCAGTTCGCTGGAGCCAGGATGAGCAATAAGGACCCTGGCTAAAGCATCTTCATGGGATCTAATGGAGGGACACTGGTGAGTTTCTATTGATTTGTTTTTGCTTTTTGGGGGAGTCAGGCATTTAAGGATTAGGACATTCAAGAGCAACCATATATAAGAGAAAATTCAGAAAGCTCCAGCACATGGCCAGGGGAGTGGCAGGTTCAGAAAAAAACTAAGAAGAACTGAGACGTTTTTCCCTCAGGCTGGTCTTCACCACAGAGGCACCCTTTAACAAAAAGCAAACCCAAGGGGAGGAGGATTATCTGATTTCCAGAGGTACAACGTTATAAGATTCAAATGTCTGTTTTTCAGCGATAAAGAAAATTACATGGCATACAAGAAACAGGAAAGTATAACCCATTCGAACAAAACAAAAAATAAATGGCAGTAAATATTTGTGAAGAAGCCTAGATGTCAGACTTAGTGGACAAGACTTTGAAACAGCTATCTTAAAGATGCTTAAAGAAAACATGGACAAAGTCCATTGAAAATGGACTCAATAAGGATAAATTACAAATAGGATCCAAAAAGAAATTCTAGATCTGAAAAGAACAGTAACTGAAATGAAAATTCACCAGAGGAGTTCAGAAGCAGATTTGAGCAGACAATAAAGAATCAGCAAACTTGACAACAGGAAAATTATTGAGCCTGAGAAATGGAATGAAGAATGAAGAAACGTGAACAGAGCTTAAGGAACCTGGGAAACAGCAAGTGGACCAACACACACATTTCAGGAGTCTCAGAAGGGGAAGAGAGAGAGAAATAGAATAAATAATTCTGAAAACTTCTCCTATTTGATAAAAGACATAAATCTGCAAATCCAAGAAACTCAACAAACTCCAGCTAGGATAAACTTGGAAAGAGACTCATACCGAGACACATTATAGCTAAACCATTGAGAGCCAAAGACAATCCTGAGAGTGAGAAGTTACCAATCAGATAGATTACAAGGGACCTTCAATAGAATTATTGCCATTTTATCAGAAACTTTGGAGGACAGAGCACAATAGGTAGATACATTTAAAATGCCGAAAGAAAAAACACTGTCAACTGAGAATTGTCTGTCTGGCAAAACTATCCTTCAAAAATGAAGGAACCACTCCCAAATAAACATAAGCTGAGGGAGTTCATTACCACTAGACTTGCTGTGCAAGAAATGCCAAAGGGAAATCCCTCAGGTTAAAATTAAAGGGCCCTAGACAGTAACTTGATGCCTGGTTCCCAAGTGCCACATGAAACAGTAAAAAATCTCCAGTAGAGATAAATATATGGGGAATTTTAAAAGCTAGCATTATTATAATTTTGGTTTAGAGCTGCACTTTTTATTTTCTATATGATTTGAAAGACAAATGCATAAGAAACAACT